ACAAGCCCGTACAGCCCAAATAAAGACTGTGAATACCTAATTACATTTCTTTCCCCGAGTTTTCCCTTTTTTCGTAGATCCGTTTATTCAAAACGTTTTATCTTTTAAACCGTGCGTCTAAATCTCGAACCGTTTTCATCATTGGATTCCTCGCATCGAGATCTTTAAAACTAGATCCCATATTGATAGATTTGACAAACTTTTTTTTGAAAAAACCGGACGAAAAAACCGAACCGGGAGCACGGTTTTTTCCCTTTCTGAAAGAGACACGTCCGTGCCTCTCACGAAATCACACCCGTGCCTGTTGTGGATGCAAAACTGCGACTCTCGTGGAAGAAAAAAAAACAGAAAACGCGTTTTCTTTTCGTTTCCGATAGGCACGACCGTGACTCTCGCGAAAGCACAACCGTGCCTCTCGCGGAAGCAAAACCATGACTCTCGCGAAAAAAAACAGAAAACGCGTATTTTTTCTCTTTCTGAGAGGCACGACCGTGACTCTCACGAAAGCACAACTGTGTCTCTCGCGGAAGCAAAACCGTGACTCTCGTGAAAGAAAAAAAAACAGAAAACACGTTTTGTTTTTCCCTTTTCAAGAGGCACGGTCGTGACTCTCGCGAAAGCACAACCGTGCCTCTCGCAGAAGCAAAACCGTGACTCACGAAAGAAAAAAAATAGAAAACACGTTTTTTTTTCGTTTCTGAAAGGCACAGCCGTGAGTCTCGCTAAAGCACAACCGTGCCTCTTGCGAAAAAAAACCCGTGACTTTCGCGAAATGAAAAAAAAGAAAACATGTTTTTTTCATGCAAAAAAAATTCGAAATTTTTTTGTCGAAAAGCTAAGGAAGACCGGGAGAAAACCAAAACGTCGAAAAAACCCGGGAAAAAAACAGTTTAAAAAGCCAAAAACGCATGCAGAAAAATAAAAAATAAAAATCCGGAGGGAGCGTCCATAGCGCGATACGTGGCGAATATCTGAGAGTGCGTCAAGTGGCGCTGATCGTTGCGAGGCTCCCGATGGAGCGCTCGTTAACTAGTTGCTCCCCATTTCTTTTCACTCAAAGAAACCTAAATAAAATTTTCTTATTCTTATAAAAAGGACTAAATATATAGGCCGTGCATCTTTTCAAGTATTGCGTGCGACGCTTGGTCCGCTGGCTAGCGAGCGCTTCCCCGGCCGCAGGTTGAGGGTTCGAGCCACCCGCCCGCGCCAATTCTCTTTGCATTTTTTTTTATTTCTCAATATCCCACGGACATATGGGTACAGCCTGATGAGCGGGGCCTGTCTGACGTGGCATACAGCGGGATACACAATACGTATGCAGCGTGTAGAGTGCGTTTCAACTTTAGGGACCGTATTGACAATGTATTTTCATGTACTGGGATCGTATTGAAGCATCGTATTGAAGCAGTTCGAGCCACCCGCCCGCGCCAATTCTCTTTGCATTTTTTTTTATTTCTCAATATCCCACGGACATATG